CTGGGCTGCATGAGCCACCGGACTTTTGCACCTGCTCGTTTCCAGCCCAGTGCTCTCTGACTTCAAGTAAATAACCAAAACCTACTGGCATAGTGCGTAGTCCTCTCCTGGGGTCTTCTCCCTGCTGTGGGCGCACCAGATCCCATCCCTGTTCTGCCAGCTATACTTCTGTGAGGGCAGGGCTGGGTCTCTCTGGGCTCTCATTGACCTAGCAGAGGACCTGGGAGTGAAGTGCTCAGTAAACAGGTGTGGGCAGTAGCCAGGTATTACTTCACTTTATATTCTATCACTGTAGATTGACATATAGTTTTAAGAAGCTACACAGAGATACCCTGACCTCTCCATCCAATGTCCCCCAGTAGCAGCATCTTGCAAATCACACCCAGATATTATCACTGATATAGTTCAGACAGAAGGTTCCAACCCCATGAGGACTTCTCCTGCTGCCTCCTTGGCTACTCCATTCCCCTTCCACTCTTGCCCCTCCCAACTCTTAGCAGACATGAATCTGTTCTCTGTATCTATAATTTTGCCATGTAAAAAGCGTGACATATATGGAATCATACACCATATAGACTTTGGGTTTTGACTTTTCTCACTCAACCTAATTTCTAGAGACCCATCTGGGCTGCTGTATGTATGAATAATTCACTTCTTCTTATTGCTGAGAAGCAGTCCAGGGAATTGATGCACTACAATTTGTTTAGCCACTAGCCTGTTGAAGGACATCTACATTGTTTCCAGTTTGGGGCTATCGAAAATAAAGAGTTTCTATACAGGTCTTTATGTGAACATAAGTCTCCTCCTCTGGGATAAATGCCCAGGAATGCAATCACCGAGTCATATGGCACGTGTAGGTTTTTTGTTTTTAAGAAATTGCCAAAATTGTTTTCCAAAGAAGCTGCACCATTCTAACAATCCCTCCAGCAACTTATAAGGGGTCCAGTTTTTCCACATGCTCACCAGTATTGGGTGTTGTCACTATCTTTTATTTTAGGCATTCTGATAGGGGTGTAGTAACGTCAAAGTGTGACTTTAATTCATATATTGCTACTGGCTATTTATGTTGAGCATCTTTTTGTGTGCTCATATGCCACCTCTATATCCTCTTCCTTCCTTTGGACCAATTTCTTTCCTTTTTACTTTCAACTTTTATTTTAAATTCAGGGGATACTGAATTTGCTTAGGACAATGAATAGTGATGGGATACTGAATTTGCTTAGGATATTGAATTTGCTAAGCTGCAACCATGTTGTTACAAAATACATGATTTCGTTCTTTTTTATGGCTGTGGAGTATTTCAATGGTGTCTATGCCCCACATTTTCTTTATCCAATCCACTGTTGATGGGCACCTAGGCTGAGTCCATGTCTTTGCTATTGTGAATCGTGCTGCAATAAAAATACAAGTGCATGTGTCTTTTTGTTAGAATGATTTATTTTCTGTTGGATATATACCCAGTGATGGGATTGCTGGGTCAAATGGCAGTTCTGCTTTCAGTTCTTTGAGAAATCTTTAAACTACTTTCCACAGTGGCTGAACTAATTCACATTCCCTCCGACAGTGTAGACGTATTCCTTTCCTCCGCAGCCTTGCCAGTGTCTGTTGCTTTTTGACTTTTCAACAATAGTTTGGCTCATTTTCCAAGTGAATTGTTTGTTCTTTACTGCTGAGTATTAAGAGATTATACACATTCTAGATGATACTCCTTTTTTGGGACATGTGGTTTGCAAATCTTTTCTCCTACTCTGCAGTTTGTCTTTTTTATCCTCTTCACAGGTTCTTTCCATAGAAAAATGTTTAATTTTTATAAAGTCTGATTTATCAACTTTTCCTTTTATGGTTCATGCTTTCGTTCTACCTCATAACTCTTTGCCTAGTGATCCCAAAGATTTTCCCCCATTTTAAAAAATGCGATATTTTACATTTTAGTCCATCCTCCATTTTAAGTTAATTTTTGTGTAAGGTGTGAGCCTTTGGTGGCTGTTCATTGTTTTGCCTGTGGGTTTGGTTTGCTCTCTTTTTTCTAGGTTATGGAGGTAAGAGCATAAACTATTCACTTTAGAATCTTCTTTTTTCCCAAGGTATGTATTTACTCTGATAAACTCTCCTCTCAGTGCTGCTGTACCCATGTCCCATGATTTTTGATATTTTGTCCTCATTTTCATTCAGTTCAGTATGTTTCAGATTTCCCTGGAGACTTCCCCTTTGACCCACAGATTATAAGTGTGCTGTTTGGTTTCCAAGTGTTGAAGATGTTCCTGTTACCCTTATGTTACTGATTTCTACTTTGAGTTCACTGTGGTTGGAGAACACGTTCTGCATGGCTCAGTTATTTTTAGTTTTCTGAAGTTTGTTTTCTGGCCCATGCATTCTATAAATAAGGCCTACCGGTCCCGTGGCCCTGAGGTCCGTGGTTAACTGGACTTCTTCTCCCCATCTTTCAGACCTTTCTCATATTTGTCTTATACTTATTGTCCAAGGCTTTAAGTTGTACTTAGCAGGAGAAATAGAGAGAATTATGTCTAATTCACCCTCTGGGAAGTGAAGGCTCTCCCTAATGCCATTTTAAAGCAAATATTGTCATTCATATGCACATCAGTATCTAGGCCTAAATGATACACAGTTAAGCATTCCGGCAGATGCCTAAAGCTTACTACTTCAAAACTGCATAGTGGCTGTGGATGGCAGGTACTATATAGTCCGCATTTTTAGATAAGGAGGTGGAGGTTCATAGGGGTTACCTGAATGTACAATCACATGGTTATTGCATAGCTCTGAGACTTTCAATGCGCTTTTTCAGTTGTGACATTAGGTTGCATCTAGTTTAGACAAAAAAAAAAAAAAAAAAAAAAAAAAAAGCGAAAAATCAGCCCTGTGTCATCTGCCATGGCTGTGGAGTCCACTGACGGAGCTGAAACTCTGACTTTGCTACTTACTAGCTACTCAACTTCTTCATGTCAGTTTTCTCGCCTGTACAATGAGGGCCACAGTAAGAGTGACCCATAGAATGGGACTGTGAAATGGAAGGAAATCATTCTATAAAGATCAGGGACATATTCTGTACGGGCCGACTACCTCTGGTATTACTGTGCCCTCAGAGCAGCCTCACGACTCCACCTGACTTTGCAGAGTGGGTGGGGCCTCCAGGCAAGGGCACGGGCTCACCACGCTGTCAGATGAAAGCGTCCACTAAGTCAACACTGTGTGTCTCTGTACTCCTTGTGGACGAAGGTAAAGTTGACCCTCCCTGGGGACTGCTGAAATAAAAATCTAGAAGGCTCCCATTAACATTCTTATCATGTCTCCTTTACATATTTAAAGGCAAGCCACGACTTCTTCCATGTGAATGCTTACATGCAGATAGTACTCAGGACAAGCTGGAGCCGCTGGACTCTAACACATGCTGGTGTGCAGGGCCATCCTCATGTACACATGGTCCGGTGCTCCCTCACACACGGAAGCCAACTACTATCTCCAGGCTGGGACAATCGGGCCAGCATAAGACAGCCAGACCACTGGGTACCCCATGCTGAGCACCCAGGCTTCCTGCAGCCTCCTAGACCCTTCTAGGAGTTTAGACGGGGCTCAGCATTCTCTTATGTGCAATACAGTGATCTCAGAGGCCTCCCTCAGGAGCTGTTAATGAGTCTGCAGCCTGTTTCTAGCATTTTCTTTCCTCAGTCTTATTACTCACCTTCCACTGCTTGTCATCTACCTATTTCAAAAGAACCCGGTTCTGGTGTTGCAGCAGAAGATGGGATTTCAGGCCAGAAGGTTAGGTGCCAGCCCAAATCCACTGAACACTTTCAAGCTAAGAGCCAAGTACAGTCACGTTCATGAGGAGGAGGGGGTACGTGGGGTGGAAGGGACATCCCTCTTTCTGCATATATTGTAATGATAAAAAATACAGAACAGACACATAGCTACCTATGTGTGAGTCCATCACGCTAATGCATACAGGAACATACACCCTTCTCATGTAATGCTCATATTATGTATACATTAAAACGCAGCTTATCTGAAATTTCAGTCACACTTATTGAGCAATACGGGCAGTTTAACTGCTATATGCTACGTATGAAGAGAGTCGTTTATGCTCCTGAAGCCATAAAGAGAATTTTAGGAGAAGGACATTTTTCTATTACATGGTCCACAGGCTCAGTTTACTCTAGAGAAAGGGGAAAATCGAGCTAGCTGTCATGATCACAGCACTCCTGGGTAAGGCGTGGATGAAAATGCAAGTTAGTGAAAATTTCTCACCCTCAGGTAACGTGCCTAATAACCGTGAACAGCATCCTTCACCAGGGCAGAAAAGCAGCAGCGCAATGAACAAAAATCCCAGAGAAGGATGATTTTGAAATGTGCACAGGCTTTAAGTTTACATTCTCTCTCCACCTGCCCGAGCTCAGCCTTGTCCTAGACCCTCAAGCAAGTCCTCAAGGCCACCTGGAAGAAGTGTGCAGTAACTCACCCCAAACACCGCCCGCTAACACTCCCTCTCCTGAGCCAGCTGTGCAGACAGACCGATGAGATCAGACCATGGACAGAGCCCCTGCGCTCCTGCAGAGATCCAGGGACAAGGATCAGGCACGCACAAAGGGCAGGCAGGAGGAGCCGCAAGGCATGCGTGAGAAGGCAGCTGGGAAAGCAGAAGTAGGGCCGTCCTGCGGCACCATCCCCACAGAGAACATGAAGGGTGGGATGGGCATTCTAGTTTCTTCAGAAGCACCAGTGCTAAGCTGCCGACTGACACCATTGATAGTTCCATCAGCCGCAGATGAAGAGGCTGAACAGGAAGGTTCCCCCCAGGAGGCCAGGCAGCAATGCAAGGCCAGGATGCCACCACACAGAGGATTTCACGGCCACATCCCTGCAACTTCCCCAGCAAGGTTTCTGAGATACGACACAAATGGAAATATTTCTGCATAAGAGTTCTCTGTAAAAATGGCGACGGTGCCTGAGCTGCCGCGTCTGTGACTCGCGGGTGGATTTCTTACCCCGTCCTCCTTTGTGCTGACTGGCCGGGCTGCTCAGCAGGGGCTCAGGTGGGCTGAATGGAGGATAGGGCGGAGCTGTTTTCACTAGAAAAGAAAGCAGAGCAAGGGGCTGTTGTCACCCTCCTTAGGCACGGTGCAGCGCACAGCTAGTCTTACTTCGTTCTTACCGTACGGTGTTTCTGGAGACACAGGAAATGCTGGAGTTGAACACATGGCCTCCTTGCCACTTAAAATCCTGCCATCAATCATATTGAGGTCCGGGGGATAGCCAGGGGTCATCGTCTGAAATTGGCACAGGGAGGAGAATGTGAGAACGGGGAGTCAAGTGAAGGCTCCTCCAAGCTGGCCCACTGAGCAAACGCCTCCTCTGACGGCAGGGCCTTGGAGGCTGAGGTCTGAATCCATGCCACAAAACCAGCCCGTCTCTCCTAGCCATGGAACACTGGAAAACACTTCCATGTTCAACAGTAAAGGAAACAGAAAGTATCTTCTCACCCATCCTTCTAACACAATACACAACTAATAAGTGAAGTAGACAGAGTTTGTAATGGTACGGGTAAATGAGTTTCTCAATATTAAGGCAAAAACCTGGATAAAACAGTCATTAACTGTGATATTAATACATTCACAGATGCATGAAAGCACATAGCATTTTAAACACAGCATAGAAAAAAGGCCAGGTGGAAATATTCTATATATTAACAGTAGTTTTGTTTGTGAGTCAAGACTGTGAATAACTTTATTTCCTTACCTGTTCTGTAGTTTCCAACTTTTCCAGCTTGAAAAAAAATCCTACTCACGTGTAAAAAGATTCATCGTTTTGGATACACCAACCTGCTTAGCTTCCATTCTGATCAGAAACCTTATCTAGGCCTCTTGGAAGAGCAAGAAGCTCTTGTCTGTGGCCCTCACCTGTGGGTCACCTCCCAGGAAGGTCTCGGAGGGACGACCGAGGACCCTGTAAGATGACCCTGAAGAAAGGCTGTGTGTGCCACTGGCTGCTGCTGTCGGGTTATAGAGAACGGCTAAGGCCAGGCCTGTTAGAGTTCTACCTCCAACCCACACAAACTACCCACGTGTTGTGCCTCTCCTACCCATTCTACAGATCAGATCACAGAGGCTCAGATGCCCTGGGTGAGGCAGCCCCGCCTGCATAGCTATCTCTGGGGCTCATCGCCCAGGCCAGCTGACTGTACACTGTGCCCTCCCAGCCACACCTCCTGCCAGGTAAGAGGAGCCACAACCACATTTGTGGAACCAGGACAGAAGGCAAATGCAGAGGGCAGTTTGGGCTGTCTGTATTCAGGGACAAGGCCTAGTCACTGCCCGTTCACCCTGAGTTCCAGGACAAGAAAGCAAGTGGAACAGACCCAGAAGCCGGGACCTGGCCGTGGCACATACCTCTTTGACATCCGCTGGCGAGGGGAACGGCGGCAGGTTCGGGGCATGGTCCACGCCAGCCTTTCCCCACGCACATTTGGAGAAGGCCAGCTGTCCTCCAGCGTCATTGTCGTACTGCCCCAGGCTCAGCTTCCTGAGTCTCCCGCCCAGGGGCTGGTCAGCTGAGGAGCCTGTTAAAAGGGAGACAAGCGGGTTGCAGGGTGCTTCTCACAGTGAAGTGAGGCACCCCTTCCTTAAATCTTGCCTGCTGCTTCTCAAAGGTGCCATATCCTGCTTCCTGGTCACCACTGTTCCAGGAAGATGCTGAGGTTGCTGCAGGCAGGTGATGGGAAACCCGGGGCGTTCTCAGACTCTAGCGGGTGAACAAAGCTACAGCCCTGCAAACGTGCAGCTTCCCCAGGCCAGCATGCTCCTTCCAGAACAGGCCGCCTGGGGACAGGACCAAGCACCCAGACTCACATGCAGTGCTGGGAAAGGACAGTGCCCAGATGGAGTGCTGGGTAGGACTGATGATGCCACCCCTGGGGCCCTGTCAGGACCAGAGTGCCCTGAGGACCACACACCTACGGTGACCCTGGGTAGAACGCGGCCCGACTACGATAATCTGAATCTCAGTAATGGGAAATTCTGGAGGGCAAAAAAAACCTACCATTTCAAGCATCAACAATAAACATTCACCATCCCAAACGTTCCTTGCCAGAAACACCACAGGTAGTCATTCCTGACATAGATCCCCAGAGTCCCCACTCCTGATCAAATTCCGTTCTCTTTGTGTTGGGGGAAAAATGGGAGGCAGTCTGGGATCTAATTTTCTACAACCTCTTCCCAGGGATTCTTATGATTTGGCAGTTAGGAAAAACCCGCTGCCGGCTATTAAAAGAATGTTTCTATTGATGACAGAGTCTGAAAATTCAAACCCAACAACACTGTCCCCTACAGTTTAGATTCAAACTACAAATACATACTCCCTGTAAGTGCAGCGTTCAGAGTAGCATTTCACTGCAAGATGGAGTTTCATTCACCAATTGTGTGTGGCCCACATAAGGCTCCTCTTAGAATGACTTTGTTCCAAATTGGTTGATGGCCGCTCTCCAAAGGGAAATACATCATGGCAGTGACATACAGTCGTGTTGAGCCGGTGATAAGCCACTGACACCTCCCTGTCTCTCCTCCCACATCCACAGACTTCAGAAGCTCACAGGAATGCAAAGGTTGGCATGATAAAGGGACAGTCCCACAGAGAGGGACGGGACACCAACCCACCACGCTGCCTGAGGGGAGCACCAGGACTGTGGTGAGGGTTCTTGTTTCTGTCTGCAGCACAAACGTGCTCCACTGCCTGACCCTCCCAGCTACCAGGTGCCACTCAGGCGGGGCTTAAGGAGGTTCCTGGGCTTAGCCAGACTGGGTACCACCCTCCCTGGCTGATGTCCCATGAGACATCAGTTCAGCACCACACAGCAGTGACCCAGCAAGGGAGAGCCAAACCCAGGTCCTTCCAAGCATCCTTCTGCCTCTTCCTTCTGTCCGCTCTCCAATTCCTGGCAGCTCCCTCCAGCAGCCCAGGGAAAGAAGGAAGAAGAAGTATGCATTAGGACCTGGGATTTGGGGTCTCACGTGTATCCTTCACCAGCTGCAGGACCTCCTCAGCCCCCATTTCTTTATGGATAAAATGAGCATAATGCTCCCTCTTTTCCCTCCCACACAGGAGTGAGGATGAAATGAAATGAAGCTGCATATCTGAGAGTCATGCTCACACGGCAGCCCCTCACTACAGCACCCCACCCCCACGGTGCAGTGGTCCTCTTCCTCCACTCACCATCCCTCCACAGCACGCAAGTGCTGCAGGCCGGGGAGGGGCCACCCTCATCCCAGTGCTCTTCAACACACACACGCATTTGCAGCCATTCCAAGAGTGAGTTTAAAGAGGGCTGGGGGAGGTGTGAGGTCCCAAAGTCAGGCTGGATTCACGCACCACCTGGTACTCAGCTCAGACGTGGTGCTTGTCCCTGAAGCAGTCAAGGTGGCAGGCAGCAGCCCTGGGTGTTAGTGATGGAAAGGAAGTGCCATGGCCACAGGCAAGTGGCTGAAAGCCTAGTCCTCCCGCCCCCCCGGCAAAAGGAGCCACGCTGCTGGGCTCAAGGGAATCATTCTAGCTGGGAGGACCTATCTGTGGCAAGTGCTGGGAGCTCCCCTGCCCTTTACTGACATGATAGTCCACTCACAGCCTAGAACTTCCAAGGTCACTTCCAGAGATGTCATTTTCAAAGGGGAGAGAATATTACTTCTGTTCAACATGCAAGATCATATGTGGTGTTTTTATCAAAAGTGACATGGCAATATCATGCCAACACACAGTGCTTCACGAAGCACACAGAAGAAACAGCTATGCAAATCACCCTGATTTGTGCATTGTACACGGTATACATTCATCAGAATATCACACCGTACCCCACATGAACGTACAAGTACTATGTCTCAACTAAAAATAGTCATCATAATAAAGAAAGCTGCAGACAGTGTGGTTAAGAGTTCTCTCTGATCTGAAGAAGGTGGCTGGGAAGCACATGTGAATGCACTCTCACCTCAGGCCTGAGGTTGGAAACTCACTGCCTTCAGAGACGGGGGTCCCATTAGGGTTAGCTGACGACAGGCAGCACAGCCTTGAGGCTGCACTCAAAGACATGTCCAGGTCGTAACAGGGTCTGAAAAGGAATTTCCAGTACTAAAGCATAAGTCTCAGTGCAGGAGGCTTAGACTTTTTCTAACCTTTCAACTTGGAGGTTTCCTTCAACATGACACCTTCAGAGCAGCTAGGGAATATGATCTGTGAGTGAGCTGACATGAATCCAGCAGTGGCCTCCGTCCTGGGCCTCCCCAACCAGAGGAGGCTTTGAAACACGGGCATTCTGTGAGCTGCCCCCAGAAATGTCCCTGCTGAACACATGGATTTGAAACTGTTCCTCAATTCTCTCTCTCCCTGAAGAATTACAAGGAAAAACAGAATGTTCTTCATTCCAAAAAAATCTCCTGAAAAATGTCCTTTATCCCACCTCCAGGGCTTGCGCTAAAATCTGGGCGGCACCATGTCTGATTAAGCAGAGCTACATGCTTCTTCCTCTGGATGGATCAATACTTCTCAGTACCCTGCCACTGGGACCACCAGGAGGAAGATGGTTTCCACAACCGAAGGAACTCGGCGAAGGACAGCGGCTGTGGATCTGAGGCCGGAAAGGGCTTTTTTGCAAGTGCAGGAAGAATGGGGGAGTCAAGGCTCCTGCAAAAGCGCCACCATGCCCCAGCTTCCAGGATGTGGCTGCACAGAAAGCGTGGCTTCAGCCCTGCTGGTCCTGTTTTACATTCCCAAAGGGGAAAAGACACCGGCACACAAGGTCAGCAAGGCGCAGGTCTTTCCAGGGTGTGCAGATAGACCCCTTCCTCTCGGACTGCAAACCTTGGAAATGGGAAGTTTGAAATGCCAGGAAAAACAGGACAAAATCAGACAGGGTTTAAATATTGCAACACCACTGTGTGCTAGGGTGCACCCACATCTGCCCAGGAGGTGGTTACAGAAGAAAGAAAAGCAGGGGAGCAACGTTTATCCAGCAGCAGTGATGCTCCAAGCCTGGGCAGGTGCTCTCATAGAGAAAAGCCCATAAGCTCTCCATTAAGGTAGACTACTACGTCTTTTTTGCAGACAAGGAGAACAGAGGCTCAGGTCTGAGTACTCATCCTATACCACACAGCAAGTCAGCAGAGAGCAATGGTTTGTCACTACACATATGTATGTGACTTTAAAACCCACAACTGCCAACTCTATTCCTCTGTGGTCACTCTTCCTAATCCGCTGGTGTCTTCCCTTGCCTTCTATCCCTTCCCACCTCAAAAAGTCTACACAGGGCAGACAGGGGCCCCACGGGCCCTGGAAGACACTGCCCACTTCCACTGCCTGTGGTGACAGAGGGGCCCCTGGGGTCAGCATGGCTACCCTCGCCCTGCAGAAGAAGGGGGACTCTTCTTTCTGGACATGTCCTGATGCGGCAGCCAACAAAGGCTTCTCAAACTCTTCTGTCTCTCATATGAATTTCAGATTTAACAATGGTTTATTCTTTCCAGTCTTAGGAAATCTGTCAAGTGCCTAAGTAAAAACATAGGGTCCAGTAGAGAGCCTGGTGGGGGTGCCTTTCCGAAGTGTCTGAGTGCACAATAGTCTAGAGAAAAGGAAGGAGGGACAGTTTTTCAAGTTCTTCCCATCTGAGAGTCCTTGGCTACAGGGAAGGTCAGAGAAGAAGCGAGAGCGTGGCTTGCTCATTGCCTTGCCCCTGGACTGGCGGGAGCTGCCACAGAACCCACGACCTGCCACCAGCAATAGCCCAGGACCACCTGGCCGGGGTGGACTCTGCCTCTCTGCTCACGGACGACGAGCCCCCAAAGCCATCTCCACAATGAAATGAGAACGGCACAAAGCTGACTTAGGGAATCCCACAGATAACGCAGCAGGGGCTGGAGCTTGGCACACAGTCGCAGGCAGGAAGTGTTACGATGGGCCACACTCAAAATGGACTCTTTATGTAGTCACTGAAAATCAAGTTTTATGGAACTTGAAGTGGGCAAACACGTTGAAACAGCAAGTGACAAAAGGCAGCAGGCAAAGATGCATGTGTAGTGTGATTTCATTTTGATTTAAAAACTAAGAAAATATCTCAAATGCTCTTAAGAACTTCCCTCAGGTTGTGTGATTCCGGGCACTGTTCGTATTTTTTCGTAAATGTCTGTCTCTCTCCATGTTTTCACTAATGTATTACTTTTTAAAATTAGGGAAACAACACAGAAATTACCTTTGAGAGGAACAAAGCTTCTCTTATGCGGTAGTACTCTGTGCTGGTGTACTGAATTTCCCTAAATCCCTTTCCAATTCTGCATTAGTATTAGTTCCTGTAGTCGCCCAAACTCATGTGTTTGATCCTTATGCTTTTCCTTCTCTCTGATAAACCTCCCGTGTCGGACAGCCATATGCAAATTCACATGGGAGGTGGATTTCTGCAACCATATGCTCAGAGGAGATGTGTAAGTGACATTCATTTACAGAGAGCATGGCTTACGCCTCCCAGAGGTTACAATGCACGGCGCCTGGCAGCAGGGGTCTCTCTGTCCCTTTCTTAATTATTTG